CCCCAAAACCCCAAAACCCCAAAACCCCGGCATGCCAATATTCGTTCAATTGATAGTGGCCTAAAATCTAATAAATAATTATATATTTAAAGAATATAATGGGAGTACTCAGACCAGAGGAAAATAATCATCCAGTGTTTAAAAATGCTTAGTTGGATTAGTTATTGATTAGATTTTAGACTTTAAAACCACTTGGAAGATTTTCCAAGTTCAGGCATGAATACTTCTCAGAATCCAGACTTGACTTATGCTTATTTCATCATTCATAGAGAGTTAACTAATCTAGATTGGTAGCTTTATGTTTCATTAGCTTTGTAACAGGGAATATACTTTACTACATTAATTGGAAAATAAATGTTATTGAGAAAAAATGGATAGCAAACTATGGAGGAGATTTGCCTAACTATGTGTCATTTTGGCATTCCTAATAATACTAGTACTGGAGATCTTACTTTATCAACTTATATAAGTTTAAATTCAAGTATTTCTTAGAGGACCAAATTCTTGATCCACTTAACGATAATGTTCTAAACCCAAGAGCTTTTGAAATTTATCAATACAAAAGATTGGTAAGAGCAATGAGATATGATGACAATAGAGATAACAGTTTTGATTTCTTGAATGTAGGGGAAGACGATGTTGAAGAATTTGATGACTATGTCTGATTTAATGATAAATTATCAGTGCTGAAGTTTAATCTATGCAATTAACTTGTAATTTGTGAATAGTTTATTATTTCATTAAAAATTATAAAATATATAAATTTTATAAATGAGATGCAAACACTCTACTCAAATCATCATTTTGGGTCTTTTTTATCTATTTGTCATAATCACTTGCATTTCTAATTGGAATACAAAGTAAAATTACTCATGATAATGAACTATTAGCGAAAAATGTTCCGTTACCTATAAAATTTGGCCAATCATAACCTTAGGTTATTTTTGGGTTATTAGAATAGTAGAGCTCTAAAAGATTGAAAGAATTCTAGAAGAAAAGTGGCTTTTATTTTTATTTTTCGGAATATTTTTCCCAACATATTTGATACTTACAATTCTGGGATTTGTTTGGTTTGTTGATGCTTCTTAGAATAAATGTGTAAGCTTTTTGATCTAAAATTTCAATTTATTAATGTATCAGAATTCAAAGGATGGATTTGCATACTTTTTGGTAATGATTCTATCAATAGTCAGAAATTTGCTGTTTATAATGCTTGGATGCATAGTTTTTTAAAATAGGGTAAAATATAAAAATGAGATTAATGGTTTAGAGGATGATAAGAAGATTAATTGAAAGGAATGCAAGGTAATTTATTACACCATTTTTGAATTATTCATAATTAATGAGTTTATTTAGGCAAAGAACAGGCAGTCAAAGAGGAGGAAATCAAGATGACCTGATGAGACTATTAGAAGAAAATGAGCCTAGATAAAGAGGTCTCAGCAGATAACAAATAAACAGTATCAGATCTGTGAGAATTAGCAACGCAAATATTGAAGAATTTGTGGATTAAACTTGCACTATTTGCCTTAATGATTGTAAAACTAGAGATAAAGTCAAGGTCCTTGCATGTAATCATGTTTTTCATGAAAAGTAATTTATTATCTAAATCTTTTTAAATAGATGCATAACTGGGTGGCTTCAAAGGAAAGGGGAATGTCCGAATTGTAAATCCTAAGCCATTCACACAGGAATTAATGAATCTATCATTGAAGAATAATGATTCCTTTTATTTATATTTATCATTTTGTGTTCATCTAAATATAAATATCCATAAACTTGACTGTTTCAAAGAAATATGTATGGGTTGGGGTTTTGGGGTTTTGGGGTTTTGGGG